AATGTTTGTTAGACTATTAAACGTACTAACTCAAATATTTTTCAACTCTTCATCTAATATGTGTCACAACTACAGAAAACATAGAAACATAGTAATATGTGGCTATATTTGAAGACTGAATTATTGAGTACATAACTATATTTGATTTGGATAATAATCGATGTCTCATAATTGTAGAGTTTTATTTTTTGTTGATGCTTACAAAGTTCTGTGTGAATGCTATAGTTTTTTCAACTTCAAAAATAGCACAAAATAACAAAACAATTATTTTTTATTTCAGATATTTCTCAAGTAACAGTTTACATTTTTGTTTTTTGTTCCTACATGTTTATACCTCCACAATTATACCATTCGAAGCTTCATAGCAAGATGAAGGTGTTGATTTACCCGTGCGATGATTAACCAACGACGGTCGACAACAATTTTGTTGTTTTTCTGCCAACGAATTTATTACTACTGATTTTAGAAAGGTGGAGTCTCATCCCATTGAAGATATATCCAACATCAAACTTGCAAAGAATTTCTTCGGCTTGCAGAAAATGATTACGTGTATGAAAATGCTTCGATGGACAAGTTTGAATCGGGTCCATTAGAATGGATTACCGATAAAAAAAAAAATTATTCATCAAATACCGGATAACTATGAGCATGAAAATCGACCAGTGTACAAAGGAAAAGTATACGATATTTTCTTCTATCAATAGCAAAAGTTCAATAGAGAAAGACAATTACTTTTCTTAAAACGTTGCAGGGAAAGTGGCAACCCTGACATTTTGTATCGAGAAGGATTGGTTAGTTATTTCAAACAAATTTCCAGTTTGAAAACGCAAGCGTTGGCTCTTGAAGCCTTGAAGATTGCAACACTGAAAGGTCATAGTGAGCAAGTATGTTTATTGCATGCTTTTGATGAATAGTGAACATCAAAATCAAAGAAATTTTGGATTTGAAATTTTTCGTTCCCTGAATAAGACAAACAGTTTACAACAATTCAGACAGCGGGTGAAATCTTATATCCGAAGCTTGTGGGGGCGTAAAGAAATTGTTCGAAACCATAACTCTCATTTCTTCCATTCCAACAAATGCAAAATGCAAAACGTTTCAATTGATCAGTCCCTATGGGAAAATGATGAAGTTAATGATGGTAATGGAATTACGTGTTATTTTTGCAAGGCAGATTTTGAAGTCAATTTTTTTTGTAGAATTTCTATAGTATAGACTAATTTCATTCCTTAGATTGATAAGTTTTAAATTCTTCTGTTTGTATTCGTCCTTTTTATTTTGAATAATTGCCAGTGAAAATTTAAAGTACTGCAGTATATCTTTCTCTGGTGTTGTTATGTACTTCTATGATGTAGTTATCTTTCTTTTGGGTAATTATCTAATTTGTTCCCAATTCAATGCATTTGTAGAACATATTTTTTATATCAAAATGAAAGGAACTTAAGAAATAAAGCAAAAGAGCTTTTATTATCTATATTATTATTAAAATAAAGTTTTTATACAAAATGTGGATACTTGGATTTTGACTATGAAAGCATGAATACCTTGGGTGTGCTGTGATAATTATTTTTTTCTTACTATAATAGTATACAATGGCTTCGTGATAGTAAAAATGGTATGTAACTCTGTTTTTCCAGATCGACAAGTTTTTTTCGACAAACCGACCGATTATTTCCCCTCATGCATCGCATGGGTAATATACCAGTATAATATAAAACTCTGAACGGTTTTAATAGAAATAGACGAAAATTCCCTAATTCTCGCCAGTAAAACACAAACTAGGCATGATGATCCTCCAGAAAGGTTAGCACAAATAAACAAATGCGATGAAAGTCTCAGTAGTATTGAGGCTTTCTAACTATAACCATTCCAGCCGTAATAGTGGAAAATACTATTCTCTTAAATAATTTTATAAAAAAGAAGTGATATAAAAAAAATCACAATTAATAAATTTTGTAACATTTAACTGAAGTTAATTAAATTTCCAATTTTATGGGTCCCTGCATGTGAAATGGTCTGATTTGCAGAACTCAAGCCAAGTAAGGCATCCCTTACAAATTTACTGTTTGATCCCAAAACTTTGTGTGTTAGTTCACAGCAGCATCAACAGTTAACAATTATACATTCTCTTAGTGTTTATTTGGTACCAAATAATTCATCAGTCAATAATCAACATGATATTTTTTGTATACGTGTCACGAAATAATTGGGCAAATACATTAAATCTTCGGTGCATCTTATGCACTAAAAATTTATTCATTGGTGGCCATTGAGATGAAGGAAAAAATAAATAAAGTAAGTTGGTGAGGGGAAAACATGGTTATAATGAGGTTATTTAAAAGTTTTTGAGGGGCTCATTATTTTTTCTGTATATATATTTAACTACTCTTTCTCAAATATTATTACTGTGTTTTAACTGGTTGAAAGACCTTATTCAATTGACCGTCCAGCAAGGCTAGGCAACACAGCAAGGATAAGTGATTTTTCCCACACCTGATTACCCAGACATGCACATGCATGACCCTTACAAGTACACCTCACACTTTAGTGGAGTTCAGAGAACTGAAAAAATTGGTTATATCATCATACTTCCGCTTCAGAGGACCTAGCTTGTCTGATACTTTAACATGATCCTTCATCTTATATATCTCCCCGTCACCGTAGTCATTGATGGCTTCACGTAAAATAACGGACAAGCAGAAGTATGCAGAACAAGCTGGCAGTTACATCAGCTACAAACTAAAATCACTTCCCTTCCACATTAAACAATAACTTTTTTCTTGTTTTTTCTTTTCTTCTTGAAATGTTGAAGATATATATAAAGGAGACAAACAAGTCACTTCGCTTCCCTATTCTACAATAACTTTTTTCTCAATTGTTATTTTTCTTTTTCCCTTCAAATGTTTAACACACGTGTAAAGAAAAGAAACCCTTCCGCATTAAACAGTAACACTTTTCTTATTATTTTTTTTTTTAATGTTATAGAGACTCGTGTAAAAAAGAAGAGAAAGAAGTTATGTGATTGAGGAATATTACTCTCATGTTATATTATATGAGAGAAATATTCTCTTATGCACTCACATAATAGAGAAGAGAAGAGAGAGAATAAATGAGAAAAAAAAATATTGAGTGTACTCTATCTTTGATTTGTGAATGCATGAAAGTAATATTTTCCTATGTGATTTTATTCTGAAAATAGCTAGCATCCCAAACCAAAAAATCATGGGCCTATTGAATTGTGTTATTTTTTAAAAAATTACTTTATAGAATAATGAATGAAATATATGTTTTCTCTGTTTTTGTTTTGTTTTGAAAGTTAAAAATCAAAAACAAAAAACAAAAATAATTCAGATATATTCTCTAAATTTAATTCTAAAAAGTAAAAAATAATTACAATTTGTAAAATTATTTTTACAAAATAAACATGAGGAGAGTTATATTTATAAATTAAATTATTTACAAATTCTTACAACTAAATTTTAACTGTTGATTTTCGTTAATCTAACGATTATAATTTATTGGGTCACACTTATTAAATAATTATAAATTTTAATTGTTAGATTGACGAAAATTAATGATTAAAATTTAATTGTAAGAGTTTATACATAATTTAATTTATAAATATATATAACCGTTCTCAATAAACATTACCAAATAAGTTTTTTTTTCTTCTAAAAGTTAAAAAACTATTTTTGAGAATTAAATTCAAACATGTCCCACGTCTAACCACCATCTCCAACTCAATCTATATATCCTAAAAGTTCAAAACCGCATTGATACAAAGTAAAATATATAAATAAATAAACAATAAAAAAAAAACACTCCCTTGCTTCCACTCGCTCGTCACAAATCACAATGATTAAATCCTTCGTCGGCCTCCTCCAGTCCTCGCCGGAAAAACCCCATTTCGCCACCCAAACGGAATCCATTACCCACCGCCGGCACATCAAAGTGACCGCCGGAAAATCAAGCCCGAAGGTCTCCGGTCGAAACCTCAGGGTCGCCATCGTCGGCGGCGGTCCGGCCGGCGGCTCAGCCGCGGAAACACTAGCCAAAGGCGGCATTGAAACATTCCTTATCGAAAGAAAGCTAGACAACTGCAAGCCATGCGGCGGAGCCATTCCACTTTGCATGATCGGAGAGTTCGACCTTCCACTTGACATCATCGACCGAAGGGTGACGAGAATGATGATGATATCGCCGTCGAACGTTGCCGTCGAAGTTGGAAGAACCCTTAAACCCCACGAGTACATTGGCATGGTTAGGCGTGAAGTGCTAGACGCTTATCTCAGGGACCGTGCAAAGCAAAACGGGGCGAACATCATTAACGGGTTGTTCTTGAAAATGGATATTCCCAGAGATCAGAACTCACCCTACGTGTTGCATTACTCTGGATTTGACGAGAAATCCGGTGGGGTCGCTGAGAAGCGCACGTTAGAAGTTGATGCTGTGATTGGTGCTGATGGGGCTAACTCCAGAGTCGCTAAGTGTATCAATGCTGGTGACTACGGCTATGCAATTGCATTTCAGGTACACTTTTTTCCTAAATTTTATTGGAATAAGATATTATAAATGGCAAACATGGTCCACGAACATATTTTCAGCACTAAATTAGTAGCTACTGCTCTCTTACTAAAAAGCAGAAAAATGATAATTCAAGTGACATTAATCTTAAATAAGTGAGTGTTGGGTAAAAATATATTACGATGAAAACGTTCTTCAGTTTATTAAGAGAAGAGAAAACACACTGGCTCTCTTAGCTTCAACTTCAACCCATGTGCGCAAGTGCACGTATCAAATAATAAATGGAGTGTTAATGTCCAGATTATCGTTCCCACAAGGATAGAACTATAATTAATACCTTATACTATTTTACAAACAATGAAAATGAAAAGAAAAGTTAGTAATTGACCTATTTGGTCAAACGTTCCCTACTGTCTTGACAACGTTCCTCAAAGTCAGTAGATGCAATCTGACAGCAAACAGTTCATCGCTTCGTTATGTATGTTATCCTTCTTGTTTAGGGAAGGAACAACAATATTCATGGGAGATTTATAGATACAAGATTAAATAAAGTACAGAAAATAAAAGTAATAACAGTAATTAAGAGACCACAGTGTGGATGATTATAAAACAATAATAACAGAAGGAACGGATCCACTGCTCCATTCATAAACAATTATTTTCTCTACTCAAGACTCAACACTTTTGTCTTTGTTCCAGTCTCTTCTCTGCCAACTCTGATTCCTCAGCTCATAGACTAGATGGCTCACAAGTTTCCATATTCCTATGGCTCCCTTGACTCCAATAGGTACTGGGTACATGACCTTTGAGTGAACGAGGTGGTCCCTTATTCCTAAGGCAACCAGCACCCTTGTTTCCACAAGACTACCTTCCCCCTCTGGTTAAGCTGTCTGGAATCCCTTCCTTATGAAAGATCCTTTCTCAGTATGTGTTCGATTTCCAAAGATACACAGTGAAGATAGCTCACTTAACCATAAAAACACGAAAGTTGTAATACAAGAGTTTTGAAAATAATTCTTTAAGAACTTTGCAGTTTTTCCATTCCACAGATAAGTTAGCCCATGGCTACTAGATTAAAAATAATTATTCCAAACTGAAATCTCATAGACCCGAGATTCAGTTCAGAGATAACGAATAGAAAGGAGAGAAATAACACTTGTATTTAAATGGAAATAAACAGATTACAACAAAATAAAAAGTGGAGAAGATGGTTGGTGCTCGTGAGGAGTCTCAAGTTGGTGATATAGAAAGAAGAAGAAGTGTTGTCACTTAACTAAAGTGAAAACTCTACAACTACAAACTACAAAAATAAACTAAATTATCTCTTCTTAAGGAATTCGATCCTAGGTGATCTATTCTTAAGGAATTGATGGATGTCTTCGTGCTGGGACGTCCTATTTATAGGAGAAGAGTGGATGGCAAAGTCTGTACTTCTCTTGGTTTTGTATTCTTGTCTGCGTGTGTAGAGGCGGTGTGAACAGTGCTTCGAAAGGTGCAAAGTGGCTGGATGGGACAGTGACTGTTTGCGATTTGTCTTTCCTTCTGACCACCCCCATGCCTTGCTTTCATCTTTGGCCAATAAGAACCCTTTATTCTCTGTTGCGCACGTTTCTTCTTGCTAAATAGCTGCACCGCTTATGCTTTATGGAAACTTCTTTTCAACGTTTCCTAAAAAGTGGTCAGAGAGATTGAGTGAGTGAAGTAGGTGTTTTTAATGTTTAATCTGTTCCCCCTTTTTATATATTTTCCAAAAGATCACGTCACCTTCTGTTCCCCAATGCGTTTTTGTCAAAAAGATATTAAACACGTGCTTTTAGTGCTAAAGTTGCTCATCAGTGGAGGGAACAGATGGTATTTTGCCATCAAAATGGGCTTAAATGGGAACGAATATTCGTCCCATCAGTGAGTAATAATAAAATATATTAAAAATCAAATGATGGTAGCTCAGTTGGCGCTAGAAAACTGAGTAGGTGGGGTGAAAACATGTATTCGATACTCCTTAGTACCATCTTTGGAAGGGATTTAAAGCCTTAATCCCGGGATTCCTCCCAAATCGGACTAATTACGAAGTAATTAAATGATTGGAATATCTTCAAGTATATATATATATATATATATATATATATATATATATATATATATAATTTTAACTTTAACAAGAGATGGAACGAGTCTTCATTACTAATTATTTTTTCGACAAAAACAACTTTCTAAGACTTTTGGGTAAATGAATTGTCCATTTAAAGTTGAATGAATAAGTTTTTCCAAACTACTGCAGTCAAATACGTAGTGGTACTAACTAGTCTCATCAATGATCTTGATGGGACTGATGCCACATCAGGCTACGTAAGTAGTCCCGTTACTGTAAAATTTCGAAAGGCCATAACTTTTGACTCGTGTATCCAAATCAGATGATTTTTTTTATTTCAAATAACTTTTCGAGATCTACGCAATGACACCTCATTTGGTGTATTTTATCTTCCACAAACATAGTTCGAATTTGTAACTATGGTACCACAATCACAAGAGTGTTTAAATCCATAAGCTCATGAGTTCTTTCTGAACCAACACCGTGAGCTACAGCACATGCCATCGATTGACATGTTTTATCTATGTGAATGATGCTATTTAAATCCTTTTCTTACTTTTCAACTATCCAACAATAACAAATACTGACAGTGGTTCCTCTCCACTAACGCGCACAAGCAACCATGGATAACAACGTTTCTTCTTACAGAAAGCCTTAAAGTACTTATCTTGTTGCTAAAAAAATCGTTGGCTCAGAGGATAACCGTGGCAAAACTAGGCCAAGAGATCGATGCCATGTGCTACAACTCATGGTGTTGGTTTCGAAAAAACTAAGGAGCTTCTGAGTTTAAATGCTCTTGTGATTGTGGAACTATTGTTTGTAAATTCAAATTATGTTTGTGGGAGATAAAATATGCCAAATGAGGTGTCATTGCGTAGATTTCGAAAAGTTGTGTGAAATTAAAAAAATTATCTAATTTGGATAACCGAGTCAAAAGTTATGGTCTTTTGAAATTTTATGGTAATGGAACTGTCTATGTGGTGCTGACGTGACATCAGTCCCTTCAGTACTGATGACATGTTTAACTGCATTAGTTTGGAAAAACTTATTCAATCAACTTTAACTGGACAATTCTTTTACCCAAAAATCCTAGAAATGTGTTTTAGCCTTATTTTTTCGGTACACATGTTTCCTCGACTGTGGGCCCATTTGGATGGTTTTTTTAGCCAAATGCTACTTTTTTTTAGAAAATAAAGTACTTCTTTTTTTTGGAGTTACCCAACCCTAATTATCTCTTTGAGACGAGTTGGCTCCCTCCGGTATCCCCACGAGCTTCGACTCTTTGAGCCGGCTATGGGACTAATCTGGAGTGCGGGGGAACAGTGATGACTAAAGGTTCAGCCCCCTCCCCAAGAATGCATTCAGCGGGAATCGAACACATATCCAACCCCACTAACTCAGCGCCAAGTTACCAACTGAGCTGCACCCATTGGGTAAAAATAAAGTACTTCTATAATAAAGTCTATTAAATATATGTTTTTTAAAAAAGCAGAAATTATAAAAAAATTCAAAAACTTTCTTTTTTGAAAACTAAAAATTTTAACTTCTAAAAAAAAAAAAAAGTCAAAAATCAAATATGTTTTTCAAAATTCAAATAATTTTTAAAAAATCTAAATAATTCTACTTTTTGTAAAAAGCACTTTTAAAATAAATAATGTATAAAAAACATTTTTTTGAGAAGCCCATACAAACGGGCCATTTTATCACCGTAGAGGTACAAGATAAATGTACCAGAATACATGAGTGAGGGTCAATTATAATAGATGCTCTCCCATTAAATTAAATTGTGCATGACGACCAGGTCATGTAAAATGTTCTTAACTGTTGATAAACAATTCAAGGATTACCTTTTTTTTCCACCTTATATTTTAATATTTTTCTCTATTTCATTTCGGATAAATTATTTCTTAAACTAGAAAATGTAACTTCCAGTAATAAAGAAGGAATCTTACAAATTTAAGGCTCGGTCCTCTCAATAATAAGATATTATATCATGTATTTAATATTAAAATTATATTTTAATGTAGTATTTTTTTTTTGGGTAGGTTTTAATGTAGTATTTTAACGATGTTAGAATGTACAAGAGAATATTTTTTCTTTTTCATTATATCAAATATTGCAAAATATATTTGTCGTTTTAAAACACAGTTATTTTAGTTAAAATTAGTATTTTTTATTTAATATCTAAATTAAAAAATCTTCCACCTTCTTCTGTTATGATTTCTGTTTTCCTCATCATGAAATATAGAAATTTTTTTTTTTGACTAAAATCATACAATTATATATCCCATCAAATATTATATCATATGTTCTAGATATGTTATGGGTATTTGGAAATTTAATCGAATTAGTAACTTTTTACCTTGACACAAAGGTTTGAAGTTTTCTGTTTTCCTTTTGGGTTCAAGTTATGTCAGCCCCTAAGCGTAGTGTGTAATTGAGACTACGGGAGTGTGAATATGTGAGGTAAATTTTTTTATACTGCTTTCAGATTTTGCTGCTCTGTGTCGAATATGTTCTTCTTTGTATTGCAATTAAGATAAGATGCTTTGTTTAGAACTAGTTTCCATGAACTTATATACTATCACGTCTTATACTATCATGTCTTATCTTATACTATGTATCAAACATGCCCTAAAAGGTTACACTTGAATGTTATATTTTGGTGGTGCTATGGTTTTCCAGGAGAGGATAAAAATACCGGATGATAAAATGGTGTATTACGAGAACCTTGCTGAGGTGTATATGGGTGAAGATGTTTCTCCAGATTTCTATGGGTGGGTGTTTCCAAAGTGTGACCATGTAGCTGTTGGCACTGGCACTTTTACACACAAGGGAGACATCAAGAAGTATCAACTAGCAACAAGGAACAGAGCAAAGGACAAGATCTTGGGAGCGAAAACTATTCGAGTGGAGGCACACCCTATCCCAGAACATCCTCGACCACGAAGAATGATGGGTAGAGTAGCACTAGTTGGTGATGCTGCAGGGTATGTTACAAAATGCTCAGGCGAAGGCATCTATTTTGCTGCAAAGAGTGGGAGGATCTGTGCAGAGGCAATAGTTGAAGGGTCAGAGAATGGTAAGAGGATGGTGGAAGAAGGGGATTTAAAGAAGTACTTGGAGAAATGGGACAAGATTTATTGGCCAACTTTTAAAGTGTTGGATGTGTTTCAAAAGGTGTTTTATAGGTCCAATCCTGCTAGGGAAGCGTTTGTGGAGATGTGTGGAGATGTGTATGTGCAGAAGATGGCATTTGATGGCTATTTGTACAAAAAAATTGTACCTGGAAATCCTATGGAGGATATCAAGTTGGCTATTAAAACCATTGGGAGCTTAATGAGGGCCCATGCAATCAATAGGGAGATGAATAAGCTCAATGTATGATGGCATGACGCATGAGTTCTTATATTTATGTCTAATATTTATCATTTATTTTTGCATGTTCTAGCAGACATTATCACCTACTAAGTTTGCAACTTTGTATTGAAATGTAATCCTATACTAGCTCTCTGGCATTGAGGTTTCCCATTTATTGTGATTGACTGTCAAAGCTCTTGCAAGGGTTTAAAGTAAACCTCAAGACACCTTGTGCAAGAAACCAATTGAAGGTTTAGGCACTTATGTTGTGTGGTTGTAAATGACTCTTGTTTAATTTGTTGGTTTAATTTGACTATTTTAAATTGAATATATGTTAGCAACAGAGTTCGTATATTCACGAGGATGGCAGAAAGGGGAGAGGAAAAACACGTGAAAATTATTATTTCATGAGTCCCTCCCTACCATAGGAGCATGCGCTGCTTATATATCAGCACTAATTGATTATACAAGCTAACTGCAGTGTCCAAAGAACTACTTAACCGTACGCATGACACTTTAATCAATTACTAACAACTAAGAGATTCTCGGCTAAAAATTTTAACAGTAAATACCCTTTTTGGTCAGCAAATTTCACGACACCCGTTTTAGTCCCTAGCAAATAAAAAGGCCATCATGGTCCCTAAGAAATTCAAAATGGACCCATTTTAGTCCTTTTAGGGACTAATATGGGTCTTTTTTTGAATTTGTGAGGGACCAAAATTTCAACTAAATGAGTCCATTTTGAATTTCTTAGGGACCACGATGGGCCTTTTTATTTGCTAGGGACTAAAACGGGCATCGTAAAATTTGCTGAGGACCAGAAAAGGTATTTACTCAAAATTTAAATATTACAAATTAAATAAAAAATACCAAAAGCAGCACTTTGGAAATTATTTACAAATGTATAACAATATGTTGTGCCCAGCGCATTAGGAAGCTGGTCGCGCCCATTTTGAGAGGAACTAATTGTGCCTAAAATGGGGCACGAATGGGGCAAAATCACGTTTAAAATGAGACAAGTTAGAAGGGAGGGTCGCATCCCACTTTAGGCGCTACCGGGAACGACCCATCCGCTATATATTGTGGCTTCGTTAGAGTGTACAGTAGTGTAGAGACAATAAAAGTGCTATTTCCACGGAAAAATATACCTGACTAAAAGTGATCAGAAAGGGTAAAAGTGTAAATAAAATAGAATTAATGCGAATTTAAGAAACGAGAATTTTGGTATTTTGTGTTTGACAATCAAAGGGGAGAGAGAGAGAGAGAGATTTTGGAGGGAAGATATTTAGGAAGTTGAATTGAAAGGAATGAAAAGAAAAGAAAAGTGAACCAAACAGTGATAGCTCAGTTGGTGCATAGGAGCTGAGCAGGTAGGAGTGTGAGAGCATGTGTTCGATCCTCTCCAGTACCACCTTTGGGAGGGGTTCAAAGCCTTAATTCTGGACCCGCCCCGAATTTGATTAATCGCAAAACGATGAACCGATAGGAATATCTCCAAAAAAAGAAAAGAAAAGTGAGAATAATAGAAATTGAATATAAGAGAGGCACAAAAATATGGATCTAGATCCTATCATATGAAAATTCTCATGACTATGTCATGTGAGGAATCATAACCATACAAAGGTGGATCAATGGTAATAAAGAAGGGAAGAGAAAAAATGTTAAAATAGATAGTTACGAAATCATAACCGTTAATTTACCTTTGTATGGTTGTGATCTTCCCACATGACCATATCATGTTTTTTTTTCCACATGAGAGAATCCATTTTACAAAAAAATAGTAAAGAAAATTCATTGTAACAACGAAAACTAGAAAAGCATTGTCAGAAGACTCAGAACTAAGGGTTGAGAGGAGAGAGAGTAGAGAGAAAAGAAAAAGGAAGAGGAAGAGTTTGGTGGAAAAATCCTTAGTGCCATTTTTTATTAGGAAAAGTGTTTGTCCTTTTAAATAACATAATTTATGTCATTTTACTCTCACAAAGAGGTAGGACCCACACCTTTATATTTTTTTATCAACTCTCTCTTCTCTTTTATCTATCTTTTTCTCTAAATTAAAATGACACAACTTTACATCCTTTAGACTGTTACATACATTTTTCCTTTTTTATTACACCCAGGCTATATAAAACAAATCAGTTACAATTAAAATGTGAAATCAATGCTATGCTGGAATTCAAATAAAACTAATAGGATAAGGATAAAGAGACAATGCTCCCAGAGATAATACCTAAAATTAATAAAACAAACTAATGGATAAGATAAGGATAATGCCTAAAACTAATAAAACAAACTAAATGGATCTAATTGATAGGTCCACAATTAGTGTTTGCATTAGAGGAATGAGCCGCAACATTTAGGCCATGTTTGATTCCTATTCTTAAAAACAATTTTTAAATTTTTAAAACTAAAAAGTAAAATATTCTGTTTGGAAAGGATTGTTTTGCAAAATGATTTTCAAAACAATGATTGTTTTTTAGTTTTAAAAATTGAAAAACCAAAACAACCTACAGATGTTCTCCTAAGCAGTTTTCTATTTTTTTCGCATTTTCATAAATATCACGATTCATTAATGGAAATTTCGTAAATATGAAGACTCAAAACAATTACTTTACGGTGGCATTTTTGTAATTCTGAAACATCATTAATGGCGTTTTTGTAAATAACTATAACTTTTTTATAACTTTAGTTTAACTACACTCAAACAAGTATTTTTGTTTTTTTACTCTCAAAATCATTTTTTAAAATTCATATTCAAAACAGTTTTTGAAAACAAAAAAACAAAACACTTTCAAAAATACCCTTATCCTCTGATTCTCATATCCTTCCTTTTTCATCCCAAAATCACTTTGGATTCGTTTTGACTGATACGATACAATAAACAATGGGGGATGATTCGCCTGAGAATAAAGTCAAGTTCTTGTGCAGCCATGGCGAAAAGATTCTTCCCCGACCCTCCAATGGCCTCCTCAAGTATGTCGGCGGTGAGACTCATGTCATTTTTGTCCCTCGTGACATCACTTTCTCTGGTATTAATCTTTCCATTTCCCAAGATTCGAACAACAACAACCAATGGTTAAATAAATGTATATGGATTTGAAACATATGACGATTGTTATGAGTCCACAACTCGAGGAAATTTTGAGCCAAAATGCTGAAGATGTGGCCCATACTGAAGAAGACTTAGGAGAGGCTGCTCTAGAAGTCAAGTTGGATCAGCAGGTTACTTTGGGCCAAACCAAACCCAAGTGGATGCGTGACTACCATCTGATATAGAATGGGGATGCTGAACGTTCTAGAAGGTTGCATTGCAGTAGGAGTTGGTTAGCGAGAATATCGTTGATTTGTTAGCTGCTTCTTGTTTGTTTTTCCCTTGTATTCTATTATGCTAGGTGGAGGTGTGGTGATCTCCTTACTGATGTATTTAAGCACTTTGGCTTTTCCCTTAATGAATCAAGCAATCCTTAGTATTTTTCTTGTCAATTCTATTTATCCTTTAAGGATGTTCCTCACCCTCGAAGTGAGGTCTTATCATCTGGTGCTTTTATCGAGAGGACTACCACCATGGCTGAAACCACTATCCCCAATGAAAACCTGGATATTACCCTCAATCATTTTCTCGAGGCTCATCTCTCCCTGCAAACAAACTTGCAGAACATGATGCAAAGGATGGTGGCGTTAGAAACCAAACCCTAACTCTCACCAACACATTTCACCACCCAAACCCAGATCCAAACACTCCTACTCCTGGGATCCGTACCATTATGAAACTCGATGTCCCCTATTTTGATGGATCTGATCCCTTGGGGTGGTCTTTCAAAATTTCCCAAATCTTTGAATTCCACAGAACGTCCGAAGACCAATGATTGCGTATTGCTTCCTTTTATATGGAGAGAGAAGCCCTCAGGTGGTATCAGTGGATGCATGCAAATGGCCAACTCAATACTTGGGCTTAATTTCTACAAGCTCTAGATCTTTGATTTTCTCCTTCTCAGTATGAAGATCCTAGAGGAGCTCTGTTTAGACCACTTCAGTTCGTGCATACCAAACTCAATATGTAACCTTGGCTAACTGAATCGTTGGACTTTCACCGCCGTTCTTGCTGAGCTGTTTTATCTCTAGGTTAAGGGCTGATATTCGCTGGGAGGTTCAAGCTTTGACCTCAAATTCTCTAACTCAAGCTATCGGTCTCGCACGCCTTCAGGAAGAGAAGGTCAATGATGTTACTAAGTACGGGCCCAAAACCTTACATCCTATAACACCTCGCAATTCTAAAACACGTAATTGTATATTAAATGTGGGTTAAAGGGTAGGATTAATGAAAATTCTGAAATTAAGGCCAAAATACAACGGAAGGGTAAAACGGTAATTACCCAAACACATAACCCTGGGAAGGTAAAATTGAGTAGGAGGTCTCAAAAGATAACAATACCCTGGAAATGGATTCAGAACGAAAAATCGAGTGGTTAGGCAAGTTTCAGAAAATTCGATGAATAGTGTTTTTACCAGGGAAAAATACCGCGGTACAGTTGCACCGTAAAATGTGCTGATTGAGTTTTGAGCTCTAGGTTTGGATATAAGTTATAAATGGTATATAGGACTAGGAAATATGATTTTTGATGAGAATTGACGGAGATTAGTGAGTTTGGAGAAGCGTGCCTACGGCGCGCGTAACAGCTTAAAACTGCAATTTCTCTGAACGACTGAAAAAATTCGGATTCATCTGATCAAGGGTAATTAAAGGACAATGGTTAATGTTAAAATTAGAGTTTCTAAATAGGTTGTGAAATTATGGACGTTTAGTGGAATTAGAGGGAGTTTTGAATTAGTTTGAAATCGCGTGAGGTGGCGGTGGGGCCCACCTCACTTAAGTCACTTAAGCCACATGGCTTATCACTATTCATCATCACCTAAAACCTCCTTCTCTCTCTTAAAAACCGTGAGCCACCCCCTCCCTTGGCCATTTTTGGTTTGAAATTTCTTTCCCTTCTAACTCTCTCAATACAACCCCGAATCAAGAAAAGTTTGTG